TTGATCACCACTATTCTTACAAAAATTAAGCACATATATTAATATGCGTTACTATCATGGTTGTCAACTTAAGTTTTCTCAAATGCAACGTATTTGTTTGCTTAAAATTGAAGTTTTAATTCCATTTTAATACCACTGGGAAAAATTATAATGGAAAGGATTAAAAGTTGGCAGGTATGGATTATTGGACGCGGTTAAATTTTAATTTATGTAGAATTCTGTTTCTACTTAGGCAACGAGGTTGTATTTTTACTAATTAAGAGCAATTGTTGCAAAAAAAACTGTTAATAAAAAAAATTTACTTATGGCTATACTTACTGCATACCTGCCAATTCTTCCGGATTTTCCGGAAGATTTTCATATTTAAAGTGGTAGTAAATATATACTATTCTTTCATTTATAATTTTAATTTTTAAATGATTTTGATCACCACTATTCTTACAAAACTTAAGCACATATATTAATATGCGTTACTGTCATGGTTGTCAACTTAAGTTTTCTCAAATACAACGTATTTGTTTGCTTAAAATTGAAGTTTTAATTCCATTTTAATACCACTGGGAAAAATTATAATGGAAAGGATTAAAAGTTGGCAGGTATGTTACTGACAAAAACTATACAACAATCTTTTTAAAATATTCACCATTTTGAGAAATAGCGTGTTATTGTCAAGGAATAAACTTAACGGACACCGATGCAAATATTTTAGTTGGAATGGTCTGATATGCCGTTTTATTTTATTATTTTTCAGACAACAGTGTCACTGTCACTAGGATTATTAGAACTTCAATTTACTAGTATGTAAAACTTTAATAAATTGTCTCGATCTTGGGTTATACTTTAATTAATGAAAATTCAAATTGGTAGAGCCAGGCACCTCTTTGTTAGAAAATGTTTTCTAGTGGTAGCGAAATTTAAGTTATTTTTAGTTTGGTATTTTTCTTTATAAGTAATTTTTTCACCACTACATATCAAAAATTCATAATATAATATGAAGTGCAACTTATTGTAGTTATCTCGTGGTCACTCTTTTAAAGAGTAGACGTAGTTATCCCGATAATACAAATTTTTCTATTTAAATTGTTCCCAATTTATTATTTTTTTTTATAACCGTAATTGAACAGCAGCACCCAATTTTTGGGTTTACGACTACTAATGTTCAACTACGCAACCTTGTAATTTTGAACCCAATCCAGAGGACAAGGGAATTCCTGGATCAAGTATNATGGGGACTCTTTGATGGAACTTACCCGCATTTGCGTTAAGAAATTTTTTAAGCTCATATAAAAAGAGAAGTTTTAAAAAGTTTGAAATGTGGGCATTTCTTTTCCGCAAACTTTAAACTAATTATTGTAATTTATAAATAATACTGAATTAACTCATCAATATTTAATTAATTAAAATAAATATACTGTATTATTCCGAAAAGTGACACGAACAGAATATATGCAAAAATATATACCAAAAGCCTAGTAAAAAAGTTATTAAAAAAAACTTATATTTTAGTCATAACTATTATTTGTTAAACGATACAATCATATATGCAGCATTCTATATTGGTTTTTAACCCACTTAAATTACAGCCTGAACTTTCACATTATCATCATCATAAGAGCGAAAAATAGACTTCATTAATAATAAGATTATTTCGTTCATTTGTTAAAATTAAATAGATATTAATTATAAATCTGATTATATATTAGTAATCATTGATCCTTTAAACAACTCGGAAATACAAAGATACTGTTAAGGATGCAATTTATCAAAACGCTTACATCTTTTTTTTATTCGGACCATCTCTTGTGTGTCGTCTTCTTTTCTTCTGCAAATCCTCGTAGCGGATTTTCAAGAAAAAAAAAAAAAATACCGCAGCCGACAGGATTCGAACCTGTGCGGGGAATCCCCAATGGATTTCGAGTCCATCGCCTTAACCACTCGGCCACGACTGCCTTATGAAGGCCAATTAAGAAAAGAATCCAAATATTAATGCAAAAAATTTAATAAAACTGAAAATTAATAAAAATAAAACATCCAAATGGAAAAATGCGCTTAGCAGCAAAGAAACCAAAAGGAATTAAACAAATGAGACAATGAAGAAAATTAATAAAAATTGATATGCTTCTGTATTTTAAATAGTATTTTATTTTGTATTATACTAGTAAGTTTTCTTTCTTACTTTCCTTCTGTATTTGTCTTGTTTTTATTCTAATATTTTATGCTTCTATAATTTAAATTGTATTGTATTACAATATATTTTTTCTTGTATTTTATATATATTTTTTCCCCTGGACTTATGCAAAATTTTCGGGGCACAGAGAAAGCGATTTTTTGACTTTTGTCTTAGCTTTCTTGATAGAAAACGTTTTGCATTTTATGACAATTCGAAGCTGGTATCCCCTGATGACGTCAGCTTTGATAGTCATGTTTTTTCAATTTTCACTAATTTTCTTCATTGTCTCATTTATAAAGGACAAGATATAGATACTACTTTTGGAATTTTAACTACTGGAAATACTTTGAAAAATAAGAAGCAATCTCAACACATTTATAAGGGTGCGTTGCCAAATTATTCAATAAAAAATCTTAAGTTCGGTGTAAGGCTTACCTGCAGAATATTTCAGACTAAAACCGTCTCCAGTGATTCTGTCATTGCTGCGGAAAGTTAGCCGTGCTTTTCTTGATTTTAGAGTGATAGGCTCAGGAGTTGAGGATCCGCATTTTTTATCTCTCACTGTCCAAGTATTATCATCCTTGAATTCTTCAATCTAATTAATAGTTGGAAAATACGAGGTGAATCAAAACACTTAGGAAATTGTTGAACCTAGACGCGCAATGTAATATCTAACAAGAACATATTAGTCTGTTGTTTGCACTATTTTATTTACGCCTTTTCTATTTTAGCGATATTTTGTCGTGTTATTTCCGTTTTAAAAATAACTTCGCTACGTTATACCTATTTTTAATAATAATTTGTTGAGCAATTCCTGTTTTAATAATATTTTGTGGGCCGGGATAGCCTGGTCGGTAGTGCGCTGGGCCCATGTCCAAGAGTTCGTGTAGTAAAATGGTGACTGATGCACGTTAAATCTGTCGATTCGCAAAGTCCTCCATGTTCCCATAACAAATCAATACCTCTGGGGGTACTGAATTGGAGATTGATCGTTCTCTGATTCAGGTCAAAATTACGATCGGTGGATGAATGAATGGGTCCGCTCTATAAACGAGCGTGACGTAATGGGTGTGGCAGAAGTCGAATTCTTTGCCATAGATGGCGCCACTGGAAAACAAGAACAACCGCACCCTTATGCTCTAACAGGTAAACGAAAGCAAGCAAGCAATAATATTTTGTTGCGTTTTTTTAAAATTTTACTGATATTTTGTCGTGATATTTCCGTTTTCAAAGATATTTAGTTGCATTATATCTATTTCTAATGATAACTTTTTGTGTATTTCCTGTTTTAATTATAGTTTTTTATTTTTTATTTTAAGGACATTTTTCGTGTTTTTTTCTGTTTTTAATCATACATTTTTCAGCAGTTTTAATGATTTTATGAATTAATAATGTTATTAGATTCAACTATATAAAATATTTGATTTAAAATGTATTTGACCATCACTGTTTATATTTAATTTAAACACACATGAGTATATAAACGACTTCATCGGAAAAAAATTTGAACTCTTCAGCGCCTCAATTTTGACGCTCGTCTACTAGACCAGTGCACACTACCGCCCTCTAGATCCAATCGACTTTTTCACTGTTAGCTTTCTTCACACAGCTTAAATAAGTCATACCTTATGCTAGTAATTAACAAATTTAAAGTATATTTTTCAGGATAGGTGTTTTGTTGAATATATGCATTTCTTTTTTCTTTACTGACATACCTACTGATCTTCATAGATATCTAAATTCTGCTTATTTTATGGCAAAAATAATTGTTTTACTCAAGTGGTTATACCAGGAGCAGAATAAATTAGTTTTTTTTCACGTTTGATATGAATTCTAAGTGCTGACGAAATTAAAAAAAATTTCTGCTGTTTTTCTCAGACCCAAAAAACTATTTTTCAAAAGAATTAGAAACAGTATGCATGAAGTTTCAATCTCCAATTCAGATTAATTGTTATTATTACCAGTCGACTTTGGTAACCAACTCGGTCATCTTTCAAAATTATCTTGCACAACTAAGCCAACAAACCAAGACAAATGCGCCGAACAACTGCGTTTACTTATTAAGCTTCCTTTTTCATTCTATAACCTTAAACAGTTTTAAACAATATATTAACCAAATTTTTTCCTTACTAACTGGGAACCACCCTTAACTACAACTTTAACTATCTTCAAGAGATATCCGCGGTATTGTTAAAGTTCTTTATATATTGAATTTTAATAATAATTTAAAATCTGTCTGGTCACTAAAAATAACAAACAACGTATAAGTTCAGGAAATTTCAGCCTACTAGGCCATCACCTCCTACATCAAGAAGCCTCCACACGGTCTTTTATAAGTAGTCCGCGCAGACTATTTAAAAAGTGAACCAGTTGTGCGCATGAACCCAAAACCTTTTATAAAAATAATTGAGAGAAATTTATCTTATATATTTGAGAATTGAATCTGTAGTGGTTGAGAAGTGAGTAAGTCAAACCAATAATATTCATAAATAAAACAAATTTTTAGTCATATATTCGCTACCACTTTCTTATTTTAACTAGATTTTGTATTAAGTGACTCGTTCGATAAGTGGATATCTTTCACAGTGGTCTGATCGGACTACCTATAAAAAACCGTGAGGAGGCCCCAGAATTATTACAATTATTTTCATCTCTGTCATGAGAAAAGATAGAAAACTCGTCCCAGTGCTTCATTACGTGTTGGACTACTTCCTCACGCCATAGTTGAGTCATAATTTGAGTTTCGTATAATGATGTATATGTTAGCGTTTGTAAAAAGGTAAGCTCCGTCACCGAAAATTGGTAGAACAGTATGTTAAGGTTAAATTTTCCACAGCTATTTTAGAAAAGAAAAAACTGTATCTAAATTACTTCGTAATTTAGTTTTTATTTCCATAAAAATACGAAATGAATCTATATAAATAGGTAAAGTATAATTAAAGTTTTAATACAACTTAAACTACTACTTAAGATAACCTAACAAAATGAATAATAACTATAATGTTGCCAATAGATGGAGAAATACTCTATTTTATGATAACACACAACTTGGTTGTGTGGCACCATTATTATTTTAATAAAAGACTAAGTTGTGCTTACCAAAAGATAATCTTTCTCACAATTTGAATCCATTTCCAATTCAAATCTTCCCACAAACTCCAAGTGAATGACATAACCAGGTACGTATTCTATGAACCATATGCATTCTATATTATTCTTATAACGAGACGGATAATTTTGAGAAGATATTGTCCCAGATGTCAAATGTATCAATCCGCCGCAACCTAATAAGAAAGAAAAAGGGATTTTTCAATCTAGTTCTATACGAACATGACTGCTGTGCAGCATGAAAAATTAGAAATGCTAAGCAACTAATGTGTAAAAACATTTGCCTTGACTCATTAGCGTTTCATTCGTGCGAAACTATGGGCTTTTAGCGACAGTTTGGGATTTATGCTTAAGTTACCAGGAGATAATACTGGTGCATGCGCACACTAGATCGAAAGGCAGATCATGGTAGCAATTTCTCAGCCTCATCAAAATCATTTTAACTTATTATTTTATGCATAATAAGCTGCATGTTTGGTTGCATAAACTCCATCAAAATTTAAATTTTCGTTAAATAATTTTAACATATTATTCCACACACAAAAGCATGTAAATAATAGTAGTACAATACGAATGTACACGTGTTAGTTTATAAATTTTAGAAATACAAATTTAAAAATGCGTGATGCCTGTGCCCAATATCAAGATCTGTGCAAAATCAATGTAAATTTAAAATATTAACAAATGCTTCCTGAAATACAAAATGTATAATTGCTATTTGCACAATTTATCAACAAATGCAGTGCTTCTGGTTGCGCATTTGTTTAAGGCTGGTTGAAGAGCTGGAGTTAGTGAGTTCAGTCCTGGGAAGATCACAAAACAACATGCTGGTATATGCAGCAAGGTGCACGCTAATTCTGTTGTGACTGAAAATCCTCTCGTTGGTTCTGATGCGAAAGTTATAGAAGGGGTACCAGTTAAGGTGTAGTCCGCGTCATCTAACCGGGTTCAAAATCATGTCAAATTTATGTCACGTCAAAATTTCATCAGATTTACGTTATTTACAAAATTACAGAATTGTCGTTTGAAAGGGGTAAATTGGCACTCCTATCATGGCCGTTAAAAGATAGAGCCCTAAATAATGAGTCTAGGCGTCTGGTCAATAGTGGATAGTGAGTGATGTGTAGTGTGCATAATTACATATTTGAGCATGTTTGGTATTATTGTGTATTAGTCACTACAACTGCATCAAAATTTCAATTGAGAGAGAGAGGGAGAGAGAGAATAAGATGGAGAGAGAGAGGGAGAAAGAGAGGGAGAAAGAGAGAGAGAGAGAGAGGGAGAGAGAGAAGGAGAGAGAGAGGGAGAGAGAGAGGGAGAGAGAGAGGGAGAGAGAGAGANTTCCTGTTTTAGACAAAAGGTAGTCATTGGGTGACATGTTCGGACTTTAGGGTGAGTGTGCAATGATGTTCCATGTTTGAGAGAGGGAAGCAGGGAGGGAGAGAGAGAGAGGGAGAGAGAGAGAGAGGGAGAGAGAGAGAGAGGGAGAGAGAGCGGTGACTTTTTTTTAGAAAATTTTAAATAGAATTCTCTCTCGAGTAAACAAACTAATTTTAAAGGTTGTTAAATAAGGAAAAAGAGCTAGAGGACTAAAGGAAACTTTAGTTTTACTATACCACTTTGAAATTGTCCAGTAGTCAAACTGAAGCCTGGTGCCGTTCCATATTCATCTGAGTGAAAGATGACCACCAAAACACTACCAGACGCGACAATTGGGGCAGGAGCATTGGTGCCACAGAATTTACCGATGATGGGGGAATTAAAATGATATCCATTCCTTACTATGACATAGTCCTTGTTACAATCGTTTTCAAGTCTCAAATCCGAGAAAACCACCTGAAATATCAACATATTTGAAACATAAGGAGAAAAAGCTAGTATTTCTTGAAGTTTCAGAATGAGGAAAAGACAGATATCATTGGGGAACAAATTTTTTGATGCATTTATACAAGTATTTGATATTGCTTAATTCGAGTGTGGAAATTTCTAAACTGAAACTAGTTTTACTCCCAAGTCAAGGCTGCAATTTTTTTTCAAAACAGTATTTTTAGTTAAGTTTTTTTTGTTGCACAAATTTATAAAAAACGTATTTTATATATAGGCATGCACTTGTCTGCTCCTTTGAAAATAACACATAAGGCAAAAACATATGATTTTAACGCATCGCATCATAAACTGAATGTATTATTACCGCTTTCTTCCTACCATTCCTTATGTAGTAGGGATTTAAAGTAAATTTAGTAAATCACTCTTTTTTTTAATTTTCTATAATGAGTCAGTAGAATTCGATATTTTTTCACATTTATTTTAGCAACGCCTAATATTTTTTATCCATTTCTTTTTATGTAAAGGTTTGAGAAATGTATGTTATATTTGCAAAAAAAAATTACCCTGCAAAAAAAGGAGTGGATAGTCACGCAGTCTTTATATAATGAAGAACTTTTTTTTTTTAAAAAAAAATCGCCTTCATTATTATTATTATAATTCTGTGCTTACCTTTTCAATTATTTTCCGAGCTACGAACCCACATGAACAGCTTCAATAACCTTTTCGTCTCACTCCATTAAATTTTTGTTTTAAACAAAAAATAATATAACTCATAAAATAATATAATAACAATAATAAGTTTGACGAAAAGCGAGTTAAAAGTTAAACCTCGTAAGATGACGAAGAATGCCATAAAAGTTGCAACCAAACCACCTTTCGTAACCGAACGCATGATAAAGCGAGACTCAATTAATCTTTCATTGTTTACAATTTAACAAGCCCCCTTAAACTAAAAATGAATGATACCGTTATATCAAACCGATTATTTTCTTTCCAAACCAGACCCTTAATATATTTAACAAACTATTTTGTTATTGAAATTAAACGAAAAACATACGTCACTTCAGTTTCGACCGGAAACGATGTTAAACTTCGCTTCCATCTTACTGTCGGACCGCTTTGGGCGACGTCATTAAGTGATGTGAACTAACCCTGTCTATTGGCAAGCGGCATAAGTAACAACAATAAACATTTATTGCTATTTTTTTAAAAAAAATATGCATGTTTTAATTTTGCATAGGACTTTCAAAATATGTCTGGATATTTAGCACGTTTCGCATTTACATCCCATGAACATTTTTATGATTAAGTATTGTGCATAGTTTCACTCACATAATAGAAAAAAGAAACAATGGGAAATATTTGAAGACTGAGAATGGGGAAGGAATAAAAGCTGAATAAAGATTTTAAAATTTTCACTCTAGACAAATAAGGTAATTTTTCAAAAGTATTTTGTATGATGAATCAAATAAAACAAACTCCAAATGGTTTGAACTAATAGTTTATTAGAACATCAGAAACAAGGCTGACAAGGACCCTTTTGGATAGTTTAAAATAATTTTTTTTGAAAGTAAATGATATATATGATTTACTTTCCATCCATGCAAAGTTTATGACGTCCAAATCCAAACCCTGCTTACAGACAATTAATTCGAAAATGACGAAGTAACCTGGTAATAAATTAAAATAGTTACCACTGTTTCACCTCCATCAGGCACAATAATCCATTGACAATCCATATTAGTTGGATAATTGTTAGGATATCCAGGAGATGAAATGGTTGAATTCGAGTTGGCAACAATTCTTCCCCCACAATCTATAAGAATATTAAAATTGTCAACAATTATATAGCAATTTTATATCAATCATATATCAGCCATTATATATCTATTATATATCAATCATTATATCTCAATTATATCATATTTTTATATTATATATTTTAGTATAATACCATTATATTAAAATTATCAACCATAAAAAATTATCAAACTACTAAATTATCACCTCTGTAACTACGGTAGCAGAAACCCACCAGCACGAAAGCGGGAGCTGCAGATAATTACAGCGTCTGCAGATTTATTTTTATTTTTAAGAAGCAATTAAATAAATGAGAGAAAAATTGCTGAGATTCCTTTTTAAAACACATTTAAACTTGTTTCTAATAAAAACTAAAAAGGCTGAATTAAGGGAACACAGCAAAAAAAGTAAAGAATTTTTTTTCTGTTACTTGATTACAGACTTAACTATATTGAGATTTATTCCATTTTTTGAGTATCATTATTCAAAATTCAACTTAAATTTAAGCAACAGAATAGTTTTTATGTTGAATTTTTAAGCTTATGTTTGCTCATTTTATTATAAGTAAGTTAGATAAAGTTGAATTTTTATAACTACAATCTGAGTGCGTTGAGGTCGCCAACAATTTCGGATAGTGCTGCAGCGTTATTCCGTAAATTAAAATTACAACTTATAAGTTATTTATTAGAAATGCAAAAATGAAATAAATTACAGGTTAAGAGGTTTGAGATAGATTAAAAAAACTCATGATCTATTTTCGACCAATGATTCTATGCTAGCCCTTACCTTCATTTAAATTATTGTAGTATGTAATGAATTGCAATAAAGTTGTAATTATATTTAGATGTAAGTAAGATGTAAGATTATAGTTTAATTAAGCTTACAATGGAGTATTTTCTAATAAGGTTAGAAAAATAAAGATGATAATTAAATTTTGATTATTTATAATACTCCATATTTTATTTTAGTCAATTATTGAATGATGTACTGAATCTCTTATTGAATTGTAATTTAACTAATGGCTTTGTTCAACCTTAATTCTGACTTGGAATACTGGTGACGGATATCTTTTAAATCCTGAAATACTCCATGTGCTTTATTTTAGTAATCTGTTATTGAATGATCTATTAAATTGCTTTGATTAATGTTAACCCAGACTGTGATTACTTGTGGCAAGTATTTTCTTATTTGTGAAGTGTAACACGTTTTATCTTTGTCTAAAATTCAATGGTGTCTCATGCATTGGCCTTGACTAAACTTACACTCTCAATACACTTGGTGGGTATCTTTTCATCCATGGAATTCCCTGTTTTATTTTAGTCCATTATTGAATGCTGTATTATATTATACTTCGATTGATGCTAACCCATACTGTGATTACTTGGGACAAGTATTTTCTTATTCGTGAAGTGCAACACGTTTTACCTTTGTCTAAAATTCAATGGTGTCTCATGCAATGGGCTTGACTAAACTTACACTCTCAATACACTTGGTGGGTATCTTTTCATCCATGGAATTCCCTGTTTTATTTTAGTCCATTATTGAATGCTGTATTATATTATACTTCGATTGATGCTAACCCATACTGTGATTACTTGGGACAAGTATTTTCTTATTCGTGAAGTGCAACACGTTTTACCTTTGTCTAAAATTCAATGGTGTCTCATGCAATGGGCTTGACTAAA